CATCCCAGTGCCACCAGCTTTTCCTGCCCTGTATCTGCCTTTGCTCTGGGCTGTACTTGGTGGTCCCAGCATCTGGAGCCCTTCTAAATCTGCCTGAGCGCATCTGGAAGAACACATGTCAGGGAAGGAGTCTTGGGGACAGCAATGACAGTGCCATGCCCCCCCCATCACATGTGGTGCTGGGGAGGGTGCTGGGTCCCTCCCAGTTCTCTCACTGTGCTCTTTCCAGACGTGGTTTGTGGAATGACTTTAATGAAAACCTTCATCTCCCATCCCTGTAATTCCATCTCCCACTGTTTGTGGTGGTGGTTACACTGGAGATACAGAGAGATAGATACATTTAATTGGGATAAAGAATGCAGCTTCATCACTGGATCCTTCCTGAGCTCCATAGTTGGTGCCAGAAATAGCATCTTCATTCCAAACAGGCTTTTCTTTGAGTGTTCCTTCCCTCACCTGGAGCAGATCCCTTCTTGGAGGCCCACAGGGCACTGCATGGGTTGGAGTTCATCTCCGCAGGGCCAGCGTGTGTCACACCAGCTCAGTGAGAGGGACATGGTCCAGGCAGAGCTGGACATGGAGGCAGTGCTGGCTCCATCTGTGATCTGAAACTGAAGCTCGTTTGGAGGTGGCTGAGGGCTGTAGTTTTGGGGAGCATCACATTCATGCCCCAGTGCATCCCTGAAGGCACATCCTGCCCTCACTTACGGCTTTGCCCATGGCTGGCAGCAGAGCATGCAGGAACAGGGCTGTCCCCAGTCCCCTGTGCCACAGCCAGGACCTCCAGCAGCTCCCCAGCTGGCACAGGATGCCCAAAGAAGTGGTAAATGCCCCATCCCTGGCAGTGTTCAAGGCCAGGTTGGATGGGGCTTGGAGCAAGCTGCTCCAGTGGAAGGTGTCCCTGCCCATGGAAGAGGGGTGGAACTGGATGATCTTAAGGTCCTTTCCAAACCAAACCATTCCGTGATTCTATTAACCTGCCTCCTTCCCCCCCCTTGCCTTCACTGCAGGGAGCATAATGCTGAACAGCATTACCGATGGGCTCCTGTGCTGCCTGATGGGCAAGACAACCAACGCCGTGGGGCCGCTGGACAGTGTTGAGTCCAGCAACGGCTACAGCTTCATGGAGGTGAAACCGGGGAGGATCCTGCGGGTGAGGCACAGCGCACCCCCCCGCGCGGCCCCGGAGGGTACTGAGGAGCCGCAGCACCTGCGGGGTACCGTGCACTGCAAGCGCAGGATCACCGTGTACCGCAACGGGCAGCTGGTGATCGAGAACCTGGGCGATGCCGTCCGCTCCGAGATCCTGCACTGCCACAGTGGCTCCGGGGAGCCCAACAGCACCGTGGAGCTGGAGCTGTCGGAGGTGGCCGGGCAAGCTCCCACACAGGGTCCCGCCGGCACACCAGGATGTGCCACGCGGGAAGCGGCTGCTGCCCCCGGGAAGCGGCGGAAGCGTAAGCCCAAGAAAGTCATCACCATCGACTGCAAGAAGCAGATCACGAGCTGCAAAGGGACACACAGCGACGTGGTCCTGTTCTTCATCCATGGCGTGGGGGGCTCGCTGGACATCTGGAAGGAGCAGCTGGACTTCTTTGCCAAGCTGGGCTATGAAGTGGTGGCTCCTGACCTGGCCGGCCACGGCTGCAGCTCCGCGCCGCAGATTGCTGCAGCATACACCTTCTATGCGCTGGCTGAGGACATGAGGGCCGTGTTCAAGCGCTATGCCAAGAAGAGGAACATCTTGATAGGACACTCATATGGGTAAGGGACCGGGGGGTCCCAGGAGGGTATATTCGTCCCCCCACCTTGTCCTCTCCTTGGTAGCAAGCACCCACCAGAGCCTGCGCTTGAAGGAGAAGCAGAGGAGGCCTGTGGGGTTATCCCTCAGTTCTGATCTGCTGCATCTTGGTGTGTGTCTCTGGGTGCAGCTAATCCCAGAGCACAGCCTATAAATAGATAAGCCCAAGCAAGTCAATTACATGGAGACTAAGCTGTGCAGAAAGCAGAGCTTGGAGGAAAGGGAACTGAAGCCAGGCTGCGGCAGGATTAGATCGAAAGCACAAGGCTGGTCCAGGCTGGTGAGCACCCAAATGGGTCCCAGCACCCTGCTGTGGTTGTGCTCAGCCCCTCTGCCCAGGCTCTGCAGGGCACCAGCTGTGGGGTTTGACTGGGGTTACCCTGCCCCAGAGAGGTGCCCCCACAGGTCAAACAGGAGGAGCTCTGGCCATGGATCCTTGGGATCAGCCTTGGGATGCAGCATCCTCAATGCCATGGGGTCGGACCATGGTCCCCATGTCTGTCTCTCCTCACAGGGTGTCCTTCTGCACCTTCCTTGCCCACGAGTACCCAGACCTGGTCCATAAGGTGATCATGATCAACGGAGGAGGCCCAACAGCACTGGAGCCCAGTCTCTGCTCCATCTTCAACATGCCCACCTGCGTGCTGCACTGCCTGTCCCCCTGCCTGGCCTGGAGCTTCCTCAAGTGAGTGTCCATCCCGTGCCCTGCCAGCAGTGGCCCCCATGCTTCCATCCCCCCCCGTGCCGCTGGATTAACCCTCTGCCCGTGCTGGCTCCATCCCACAGGGCTGGCTTTGCTCGCCAGGGTGCCAAAGAGAAGCAGCTGCTGAAGGAAGGCAATGCCTTCAACGTGTCCTCCTTCGTGCTGCGCGCCATGATGAGTGGGCAGTACTGGCCCGAGGGGGACGAGGTTTACCACGCAGAGCTGGCTGTGCCTGTGCTCCTGGTCCATGGCATGCACGACAAGTTCGTCCCCGTGGAGGAGGACCAGCGAATGGCTGAGGTATGGGACGGAGCTGGGCTGGGTGAGGGCTCTGCAATGCAGAGGGCTCATCCCAGCACTGACCCCCACTGCTGTGTCCCTGCAGATCCTGCTCATTGCCTTCCTGAAGGTAATCGATGAGGGCAGCCACATGGTGATGATGGAATGTCCCGAGACAGTAAACACGCTGCTCCACGAGTTCGTCCTGTGGGAGCCCGAGACACCAGCAGGGGACGGGCAAGGGGAGAAGAAATAAGGCAGCAGGACGTGGTGACCGGGCTGCTCCCATGGCAGAGATGTTTCGGAGTGGAGCGGAGGCCGCCCTCACCAGGAGCTCAGCCCCTTTTCTTTCCCGGCCATGGTGGAGGCTGGTGGTGGAGCACGGAGGCTCCCCTGGGCAAGAGGCCGGCAGCAGGATCACGGCAAGACCTGGTCCCCATCCCTTTGGGGACAGCACGGCAGCCACTGGAGCGACTTCATCCTCTTACTTTGTAGTATTCTTTTCCCCCGGGGACAGAGAGGAGGCAACTGTGGGGAGGCTGCTCCCACTGCAGCAAAACGGGAAGAACTGGGAATGTTCCTCTAGGGAGAGGGTATCAGCTCCGGCTGCAGGAGCTGAGCTGGGATTGCTTTGAGGAGAAGCCAGAAGCTCCTTGGCCTTCAGGGCCTTATTGCTATGGTGGCCAGCAGCTCCTGCCTGCACAGCCAGGAGGGGAGGATGAGGAGGTGGCCTGCTCCTGCGGGCACAGAAGGGCCGTCAGCTCCCGCTGCGGTGGGACTGGCATGGCTGTGGTGGGGAGGACAACACCAACCCGGAGCTCTCCTGCTGTCCCCATCCCTGCAGTCACGTCCCCAACCACCATCGCTTTATGTGCCACAGCTCTGGCTTCTGCTCCCTCCCGCTGCTGCATCCTCGTGGTGTCAGAGCCATCAACATGCAGCAATTCCCACAGCTCCACTCGCCCTTCCCAGCTTCCAGCTCCTCCATGACTCCAGGACTCACCACCTGCACCTGGATCCCATTCCCACCAGGATAACACCCACCTCTCACTGCACTGGGAGAGCAGCAATACACCATCCCGTTGCCTCTCTGTCTGGCCTTGCTGATGACTCCTGTATGGATCCATGGGGTCTTGGAGCAACACAGCAGCACTGGAGCAAACCACAACCTCCTGATGGCAACGGACACCAGGTTGTTACCTGCTGATCCTGTTCTGTACATAACCCACTGACCCAGCAGCTACTCCCCTCTGTGCTTCGCATCCCGCTGCCAGGAGCTGGGCAGGACCCAGAAGGTACATGAGAAGTGTTGAGGGGGACCCGGGCACTGCCATAGGGATACACTGGGATGTGGGAGCCAGAGCAAGCCAGTGGGATGCTGCAGCTTCCCCAGAGAGCTGCTCCCTGCTTTGCTTCCCTCTTATTTCCCTCCATCTAAACCAAAGAAACAACCAAGCCCATGAAAACCTCACCCTTGCCCTATATCCCAACCCAACCCCTCCTCACCCCAATGGGGCTGACACCACACCAAGGCAACCAGTGTGGCTCCAGGGGCTCCTGGCGGGGCCCTGGGTCAGTGCAGGACCCACCTGCACCGCAGCTTCCCCATGGCTGAGCCCAGCTTGTCCACAGACTGAGTAATGAAGAGAGGAAGGGCCCTGTGGAGCCAGCCTGGTGGTGACCCTGGGTGAGGGGTGTCCCCAGCAGCCCCTGCCCTACCACCACAACCTGTCTCATAATGAGAATTTTAATGCCCCTGGGTTCAGATGGTTTCCACGAGACCCTCCCCTACAGCACCCTTCCCACGCCATCCTGGCCAGGGGACCCCACACAGCACCCCAGGGTTTGCAATGAGGGCACCCAGAAACACCACTGTACCCCAAAACACGGCTTTGCACCAACTGTGACATCCCCTCAGGCAGCTCCTCGTGTCCAGCTCCAGGCCACAGCTCCTCAAGCTCCATTGGCCACGGAGCCTGTGTCCTTGTACCCACATTGCTCACGCTGAGGCCAAGGCAAACCGCGCACCCTGAGCCCGCTGCTGCGCTAGTGCCATATCCCCAGTAAAGCTGTGTTCTATCCTGTGTCTGAGTCCATGGGGAAGCGATGTGCCAGGCACAGGGGAGAGGCCTGGGAAGGGAAGGCAGGAACCACAGGGAGCTTGGATTTCTTAGCCAAAATAAAAGACCTGCAGTGATTTATTTATCCCCTTGGAGACAAAGAGAGAAACTCTCCTCAGCGTTCACAACATCAAACCTGTACACAGAGCACAGCCACCTCCTGAGACAGGGCAAGAGGGGAGGTGCAGGCACAGGTTACCCCCCCCCCCCCCAGCACAGCACCCCAGGGTGTTCAGCGCCCACCCTGGATGTCCACTGGCCGGAGCTGCCGCTCGCCCTCAGCGAGGAAGATGCTCATGGCCCTGTGCAGCATGTGAACGCCAAGGCGCCGGCGCCGCGCCACCGGCCAGTGTGCCACCGCGCCATAGCACAGCCCCTTCCTCTGGTTGGTGATGGTCTGCAGCCCTGTGGGGACAGGGTCACCACCCACTGACCCAGCCCCCTGCTTCCCCCAGCACCCACAGGGATGGAGGCAACCCCCTGCTTCCCACAGCACCCACAGGGATGGAGGCAACTCCCTGCTTCCCACAGCACCCACAGGGATGGAGGCAACCCCATGAGTCCTCCCCACCAGCGGCTCTTCCCACAGGAGATAGGTTTTGAGGGGTTCTGCTCAGCCCCTGAACTGGCAGCTGGGGACCCCAAAGTCCCAAGTGTCTCAGGGTGGGCTGCATCCCCTGGCCTCCTGCATGGTGTGGAAGAGGGGGATGCAGGGAGGCAGAGTGGTGGCAGAGCCCATGCTGGGGCCCTGTGGCAGCACCCAGCCCCACTCACCCACCCAGAGCCTCCACCAAGCAGCCTTCCCGTGTGTACGCCTCCGCTGGGACCGTGCTCTGGAAGCAGTGCACAGAGAGCACCCCGTGTCCGCTCGCCCAGATCTCCAGGATGCGCCGCACCTTGGGACAGCCCTGTGGGACAACGGGCACCGTCACCACGGTCCCAAACCCCCTGTGGCCATCCCTGTGGCCCCAAACCCCAGCAGCGCATCCCACCTTCTGCGTGCCAGCATGGTGCTGGCCCAGCGCCTCGGTGAGGTGGCAGTAGGGCCGCGTGCGTGTTCCCTTGCCCACATAGAAGATGGCCTGGATGAAGGTCCTGAAGCACTCAGCCGGGCTCAGGCAGTGCGAGCGGAGCGGCAGGTTCTGGGTGATCCTAGGGGTGCAAACCCCCAGCTTTGGGGCTCGATGCCTCTCAGGGGCCCCTGCTGGAACCTCCAACACTGGGGACATGCGGGGCAGCAGCATGGCCCTACCTGGGGTCGAGGAGGAGGTAGTTGAAGCTGGACTTGACCAGCCCTTCCCGCCAGGGCCGGTTCCGCTTGGGGTGGTCGAACTCCTGCCTCAGCACCAGCTCGTCCTGGGCGCAGTCAGGGATGAGGCCGCTCTGCAGGGCGGCCGCCAGCTCCGGGCTGTGCCCTGGAGCATCCCCAATGGCACAGGGAGCACCATCAGCCCCAGTGGCACCGGGAGCACCATCACCCCCAATGGCACCGGGAGCACCGCCAGCCCCAGTGGCACCGGGAGCACCATCACCCCCAATGGCACCGGGAGCACCATCAGCCCCAGTGGCACCAGGAGCACCATCAGCCCCAATGGCACCGGGAGCACCAGCACCCCCAATGGCACCGGAAGCACCATCACCCCCAATGGCACAGGGAGCACCAGCACCCCCAATGGCACAGGGAGCACCAGCACCCCCAATGGCACAGGGAGCACCATCACCCCCAATGGCACCGGGAGCACCAGCACCCCCAATGGCACAGGGAGCACCATCAGCCTCAGTGGCGCCGGGAGCACCACCAGCCCCAATGGCACCGGGAGCACAGGCAGCCCCACACCAGTCCAGAGGGACCAGCCAGGCCATGGGGGACCCCAGCACTCACCCGTTTGCCCGTTCCGGGGTGTCCTCAGCAGCTCCTCCAGCCGCCGCAGGTAGAGCTGCCTGGTGAGCGCCGTGATGGGCCCTGGCTCATCCCCAAGTGCCCGCAGCCGCCGGCGCAGGCCTTCATCCGAGAGGGGCTGCAGCGGTGCCGTGTCCCCGTGGCCAGGGCGGTGGCGCTCAGTGGGTGCCCGGTCCCGCTCCTCGCGCTCGAGGTGCTCTTGGGTGCTGGGGAGCACAGCGGGGGCCTGCGGTGCCAGGAGGCGGCAGAAGCGCCTGTGGAGCCACAGGGGCTGTGGTGCCCCCAAGGGTGAAGGGTCCTGGCACCCAGAGCCACCTTCCAGCGCCCTGAAGGTGGCACAGGGGGAGCCCTGAGCATCTGTTGGGGGGCACTGGGGGTCCCCAGGGACCAGCAGCACCGTGGGGCTGGAGCCAGGGGAGCCCTGAGCATCTGATGGAGGGCACTGGGGGTGCCTGTGATCCCCAGGGACCAGCAGCACCGTGGGGCTGGATCCAGAGGAGCCCTGAGCATCTGATGGAGGGCACTGGGGGTGCCTGTGATCCCCAGGGACCAGCAGCACTGTGGGGCTGGAGCCAGGGGAGGTGCTGGGGGCTCCGGGAAGGAGCACAGTGTCACCCAAAGAGCCTGTCTCCTCTCCATCCCCACTGCACACATCCGTGCCCTGTGGGGTGACAGAGCGCCCTGAGGTGGTAGCAGGATCTCTGGGGACACCCCGGGGTGCTCTGACCCTGGGGGGCCTCCGTGGCATCTCCAGTGTGTCAGCGAAAACAGAGGAGGAAGAGGAAGCACCGAAGCGCTCTGCAGAGGCCAGGAGGCGGCTCCGGGTCCTGGGAGTGACATGGTGGTACATGGGGGGCTCCCGCGGGGTGACATCCCCAGTGAGGAGCCTGGGAAGAGACCCTGCGGTGGAGGGGGGGGATCCCTGGAGGCTGCACCCCTGGAGCTGCGTGAGGAGCTCCCCTACATCACCCGTGTCCGAAGCATCCTCACTGCAAGGGGCTGCCCTCGAGGCTCCCCTGAAACCTCCACCCTCCACCTGCTCTGGGGCTGGGGAGATGGGGGGGGGTTGCAGCTCCATGGTGCCAGCTCCGTTTGGGGAAGGGGCTTCACCCAGCTCCAGCCCCGTGGAGCAGCAGCACTGAGCCCCCAGGCTCTCCAGGGCACTAACGAAGCACTCGCTGTCACTGCTGCTGTCCCCAGGGCTGCCACCGTGCCCGGGAGCCTCAGGGAGTGCCCCGTGTTTCCCCAAGACCCTGCTGCAGCGCTGGGGCTGGCGCAGGGACCCACCAGGACCAAGCACCTGCGGAGGACAGGGACTGGGGACAACCCGAGTGCAAAGCTGTGGGAGAACCTCGGGGGTACCCCCTGAACCTCCCACCATGGTCCTCCTCCAGGGTCCCTCCCTGAGCTCATCCCCATCTGAGAGCAGCGTGCTGGAGGCGAGGGGATGCGGGAGCACAGCTGAGCCCCCGGGGTCCCCCTGGGGCCATGGGGCAAGGGAGGGGATGGAGAGGAATGGGAGAGGCCCCCTCAAACCACTGCAGTCCCCTGGCTCCTGCAGCAGGGACCCAGCCTCGGGGAGCGCAGCGCATATGCTGCCGTCGGTGGCATCCTCAGTCAGGAAGGACAGGGAGCGCCGGGGGCCCCCCGGGTCTGGGAACAGAGATGGAGGTCAGCGTCCACCTCAGACGGGGGGGGGGGGAAAGAGACGTGGATGAGCTCCCCAGCACCAGCCAAGGGGTGCCCCGGGGTCCTCACCCTCTGCAGGAGGCCATCCCCAGGCGCGCCGTGACCCCCAGTCCTGCAGGAGCCACGCTCCGTGTCCCCGCTGCCGGTCCATGGCTCCTTTCCCATCCTGCAGGGCGAGGACACGACTGTCACCAGCACCGCTGCCAGGGCCACCAAAGGGGTACACGGCCGCCGCGGGGCCAGGCGGGCACCCACCCCATGATGACGAGGTCCCAGCACAAGCAGCAGCTCCAAGGTGCAGGAGCAGCCCGAGCCCCTGACTCCCGGGAACCCCGAGTTACTGCCGGCCCAGCTCAGGGTCAGGGGCTGCGGCTCAGCCGCACCTCAGCACCCCCCATGCTCCTTAGGGGGCCCTGCAGCGTGCGGACACCCCTGTGCCACCACCCCCCCGCTCCCCGCACCCTCCTAGTGCCGGCACCGGGGAGGACCCCCCCATACCCCGGGTCGGTGCATGCAGGGGTACCCCGGAGCTGCAGCACACGCGACGTGACCCCTCCCGATGCAACGGCGGGACTGCGGAGACTGCGCGCACCTCACCCCCCCAGTCCCGGGGTCCCCGTCCCGTCCCGTCCCGCTCACCCCCGGTCCCGGTCCGCCTACGGCTCGCGCAGCCCCGCACCGTTCATACCGCGCACGCGCAGCGAACCCCACCCGTTCGAACGCCTCGCGCGCTGGCGCTCCGCCCTCTCATTGGCTGGTGAGCGCAGTGGAAGGCGGGGAGGGGCGGGGCTAAAGCTCCCAGTGACCGCACCAGGGCTCCCAGTGCCCTGCACTGGCATCGCCCAGCGCGTCCCAACAGCCACACCGTCACTGCCCAGTGTCCCCCAGTAACCGCACTGCCCTTCGGGGTCCCCACACAAGCACCACCAGCCACAACCCACCCCACATCCAGGGGTGACACCAACCTCCCGTCCCCCAGCTCCCAACCCGGTGCAGGAGCCACAGCATCAGCACAACACGGCTCAGGAATCACCCCTTCTCTTTCCCCCAGCACCATTCCCGTGCCGGTATCCCCCCGGTTCCCCCTGGCTCAGATGGTGGCCTCGATCTCCTGGGGCTCGTCCTCCTCCAGCAGCCCGTAGGCTGCGTGCGTCTGGAACGGGCGCTGCAGCGGATGCGCCAGCAGCTTGGCCATGCAGTTGTGCAGCTCCACGGCAGGCCCCGACAGCAACACTTCATACTTGTAGTTGGTGCCTTTGGTGTCCAGGCTGCTGAAGAAGCTGTACATCTCCTGGGGAGGGGACACAGAGGGGGTGAGATGTCCCCTGCCATGGTGGAGAGGATGCCCCGGCCCGCATTTACCTTCCAGCTCGTCTCATCATCCTTCTCCTCCACCCCGTTGTGGATGTAGACGATGTCAAAGAAGAAGTAGGGACACTGCAGCATCTTCTGCAGGGTGAGAAGCCGGGAATGGCTCTTCCACACGCTGGGATGGACCCAGAGCTGCCAAGCTCACCCAGAGTGGGAACAAGGTGAGGATCTACCTTCATGTGCTCTGACATGGAGAACTGGGGCTGGCAGCCTGGGCGGCCAAACACCAGGATGGTCCGGACCACATAAGGTGGAGGGATGGTCTGAACGTTCTCCGTCACTGGCAGCTCAATCTTCTGCTGGCTGCAGGAGGATGGAGGCAGCTCAGAGAAAACACCCCAACAGCTCCAGGCTGGAGGTGGGGAAGCAGCACCTCCCCCAGGAGCTCTTTGGGGTGATGTTCTTATAGCCAAGCAGAAGACTGGGGATCCCAACCTCCCCGCAGCTGTACTCACATCAGGTTGAAGAGTCCTTCCAGATCTGCAGCCCCAGGTAAGGACAGATCCCAGCACCCAGACCCCTGCCTACCCCACGGAACTCCTGCACCCTCTATGGTGGGAGGTGATGGCACTGGGCACCCCGGATGGACCAGGGTGGGGAGAAAACACCAATAAGTGAGTGTTTGGTGGGTCTGGAGGCTCCCGTGTTAAACTGGGGCTTGGTTTGATCCTCCGGCTTCACACGCTCACTCAGCTGCCAGGATGGCAGTGAGCTGCTGCCACCTGCAGGCAACGGGCTTAGGGGATCCCCCCCTTACGCTCAAGTGACCCTATTTTGCAACCAAAGAATCCCCTTTGCACCCTTGCAGGGTCCTGGCCCCTCCCCATCCCAGCCCCATAGGTGGTGGGATACTGAAGGACTTGCAGACGACGGTCTCCAGGTCATAGAGGCAGCTGCAGACCTCGCGGGGGTCCGAGGTGAACCCTGAGAGCTGAAAGGAACCGGGGTGAGGGGGTGAGGAGCCATCCCCGTCCCCATCCCACCCCACCCCACCCCATCCCCACTCACCCAGGTGGCATCGTTGTTCACCACCACCAGCGCGAACTCGTGGCACTTGTCGATCTTGTGCTTCGTCCTCACAAACATCTCGATCATCTTCTGCGAGATGTTCAGCGCGTTGCTCTTGGACCTGCCGCCGGGGCCAGCGCTCAGCACGGACTCCTCGGTGCCCGCGCCGGGATGGGGGTCCCGGTGCCAGCCCAGCCAGGAGCACCCCCAGCACTCACCCGTTAAAGGACTCCAGCTTGGGCAGCGCCATCTCCTCCGCCAGATCCAAGCAGATGATCTATGTGGGACAGCACCGTGCCTGAGCGCCCCCCGCCGCCCCTCACCGCCGCTCGGGCCGCCCCGCGCTCACTCACCACCTTCTCGGGGCAGTTCACACGCGGGGTCCGGACCTGCACCTCGGCGGGCGGCGCGGGGCCGGGCCAGGCGGGGCCGTGGGGCGCGGGGGCCGTGCCCTGGGGGCTGCCGTCGGCGCTGGCCGCCTCGCCCTCGCCCTCGCTGCGGTTACCGACGCTGCTCTGGGCGCTCAGCGCCCGGTCCTCGGCACCCTCCGGGTTCGAGCGGGTTCGGGGCCGCGGCTCCGGCGCCTTCTCCTCCTCCTCCTCAGCGGCGCTGCCCGGCTCCGACGGCTCCATCCCGCAGCCGCGCTCCAGCGGGGAGCGACGCCGGTGCCTGGGGGGGTGGAATCGGTGCTGACGGCGCCCCCCGGACCCCGGCTTTGGGCACCCCCGGCCCCAGCCGCTCCCCGAACCCTCCCAACGGACCCCTGCGACCCCCGGACCAGGAACGCCCTTTCCCACCCCCCACCCCCCCCATCCCGTCCCACCCAACCCCCGCCCCTCGCACCCACCCCCCCGGCCCGCGCTCCCCGCTCTCGGACTCACGAGCCCCGCCCGGCACCGACCGGAACCGGATACGCGTCGGGGCTGCTGGGAATTGTAGTTCCCAGGGGAGGCGTCCCCGTGGGGCACCGCAAACACCCGCGTACCCCACATAACCATGTACCCCCCGCACCCCAAATACCCATGTACCCCCCTGCACCCCAAATACCCATGTACCCCCCTGCACCCCAAATACCCATGTACCCCCCGCACCCCACATACCCATGTACCCCCCTGCACCCCAAATACCCATGTACCCCCTGCACCCCACATACCCATGTCCCCCCCTGCACCCCACATACCCATGTACCCCCCGCACCCCAAATACCCATGTACCCCCCTGCACCCCAAATACCCATGTACCCCCCTGCACCCCAAATACCCATGTACCCCCCGCACCCCACATACCCATGTACCCCCCTGCACCCCAAATACCCATGTACCCCCCTGCACCCCAAATACCCATGTACCCCCTGCACCCCAAATACCCATGTACCCCCCTGCACCCCAAATACCCATGTACCCCCTGCACCCCACATACCCATGTCCCCCCCTGCACCCCACATACCCATGTACCACCTGCACCCCAAGTACCCATGTACCCTCCCTGCACCCCACATTCCCATGTACCCCCTACACCCCAAATACCCATGTACCCTCCCTGCACCCCACATACCCATGAACCCTCTGTACCCCAAATACCCATGTACCCCCTGCACCCCAAATACCCGTCTACACCCTGCACCCCAAATACCCATCTACCCCCTGCACCCCACATACCCATGTACCCCCTGCATCCAAATTACCCATGAACCCCCAGGATCCCAAATACCCATGTACCCCCCTGCACCCCAAATACCCATGTACCCCCCTGCACCCCACATACCCATGTACCCCCTGCATCCCAAATACCCATGTACCCCCTGCGCCCCAAATACCCATGTACCCCCCCTGCACCCCAAATACCCATGTACCCCCTGCATCCCAAATACCCATGTACCCCCTGCACCCCAAATATCCATGTACCCCCCTGCACCCCAAATACCCATGTACCCCCCTGCATCCCAAATACCCATGTACCCCCTGCACCCCACATACCCATGTACCCCCCCTGCACCCCACATACCCATGTACCCTCCCTGCATCCCAAATACCCATGTACCCCCTCTGCACTCCACATACCCATGTACCCCCTGCACCCCAAATACCCATCTATGCCCTGCACCCCAAATACCCATGTACTCCCTGCACCCCACATACTCATGTACCTCCTGCACCCCAAATACCCATGTACCCTCTGTGCCCCAAATGCCCATGTACTCCCTGCACCTGTGTGCTGCTCCTGCACCCCAAATATTTATTTACCCACCTGCACTGTAAATACCCCTTGCAGCTCCCCTTTGCGCCCCATACACCACCCTGCAGCACTTAAACACCCTCACACTGCCCACAGCACTCCTGAGCTGGGTCCCCCATGGCCCTGCACCCTCTAGCACCCTACACAATGCCTTCCAGCACCCCACATGCTCGCATACCCCTCTGCACCCTCAGATGTCCCCCTAAAACTCCAAGGGGTGCTCAAGGACACAAAGCTGGGTGTGTCCTGCTGCTTAGGTGCAATGTGGGGCTGGGGTGCTGTGGGGCAGAGCAGTGGGGACAGTGTTGGGGGGCAGAGCCTCCTAAGATGGCTGCAGCACGGTCATGGGGCAGCGCAATGGTTAAGTGCAGGAGGCTGCACCGGGGCTTCGAGGAAGAGGAAATCTCAGCAGGAACAAGGACAGGGAAAGGCCCAGGGCAGGGGCCGGAGGCAGAGCCAGGACGTGCCGGGAGCCCCAAGCGGGGCCCTGGGACGAGCCCTGGCCAGGGGTGCTGCTGGCGCAGGCAGGAGGCGGCGGGGATGGAGAAGGCAAGTGGGGTGTCCCATGGGATGGGCACTGCCAGGGGATTGCTCCCGCATCGCTGGGGCTTCCTCGTGCCCCCTGCGGGTGTCCCTTGGCCATGGGTGCCCCTGGTCGAGGCAAATCCTGGTGGGCACCAGGAACCTTCAAGCCCTGGTGCCAGCTGGGGCCGGGGTGGATGGATGGATGGATGGATGGAGGGATGGAGGGATGGATGGATGGATGGATGGATGGATGGATGGATGGATGGATGGAGGGAGGGAGGGAGGGAGGGAGGGAGGGAGGGATGGATGGATGGATGGAGGGATGGAGGGATGGATGGATGGATGGATGGATGGATGGATGGATGGATGGATGGATGGATGGATGGAGGGAGGGAGGGAGGGATGGATGGAGGGATGGATGAATGGAGGGAGGGAGGGAGGGATGGATGGATGGGTGTGGATGGGTGGGTGGGTGGGTGGATGGATGGACAGACACTCCTGCAGCCCCCACAGCCTGCAGAGGGAAAAGAGAAAAAAGAGGACAAAAAGGACGAGGATGGTGAGAAGACAGAGGAGGACATTGAGGGCATCCTGCGCTATGAGGAGTGCATTGCTGGGCTGCTGGCCACAGTGGCCCAACTGCACCAGAGAGCAGAGCAGCTCCAGTGCCGCACCAGCAGGTACCAGAACGCTGCGGCCATGGGGCACGGGGATGTGGCACTGCCCTGGTGCACCCCGCTTCTGCTCTTCACCCTGCAGGGAGGATGAGGAGGGCTGGGAGGGCACCACCAGCCTCCCTACTGCCAGCCCACAGCAACACCGCTTCGACGACACGCTCGGTGCTGCCACGGGTCTGGGAGGTGAGCGCACTGTGCGTGCCATGCTGCGCCATGCTGCGCCATGCTGCGCCATGCTGCAGGGACCTCACCCTGTACTCCCTCTCCGCAGCCCACAGCTCCGACCTCTTTGCGGACCTGCAGAACGTCGTGAGCTCGCTGGAGCGCGCCGTGTTCTCCCGGCACCAGCGCGCACCGGTGCGGCCTGCGCCCAGCAAGGAGTGGGCACGAGCGGCCAAGGTGAGCCCCAGCAGCATGGTCAGCCCAGACGCCAAGTGGATGGGCACCGGTTGACCGGCTCCCTGCATCCCCAGAGCCTGGAGGAGCTGGACCGGAGCCCGGGCCGGGCCGGGCGGGCGATGGGACAGGCTCTGGAGGAGGCAGCGGCAGAGGAGGCAGCGGTGGCGGTGGCGGCAGCGGCCCTGGCATCGAGGAACGCGGCGCTGCGGGCAGCCCTGGGGCACCGCCAAGAGGAGCTGAGCCGGGCCACGGCGGCGCTGCGGGTGCTGCGGGGGGAGCGCGACCGGCTGCAGCTCAAGGTGGGCGCCGTGGGCAAGGTGAGGGTGGGGGCAAGGCCTTGGGTGCCAGGGCTCAGCCCGGTGCGTGGTGCAGGTTCGCGACTTGCGGGATGCTCTGTCCAGGCTGGAGGAGCCGGGGGGCTTCGGGAGTGACACCGCCGGGGTCAGCAGCCCCCCGGTGCACAGGGAACCCCAGGTGAGTGCACGGTGGAGCCTGCCCCGGTGCCGCGCTCCTCCTGTCCCGGTGCCGGGGTCTGCCTTGTCCCGGTGCCAGTCTCGGTGCCGGGCTCTGCCTTGTCCCGGTGCCTGTCCCGGTGCCGGGCTCTGCCTGTCCCCTCTGCAGGACTCGCCCCAGTGCAGTGAGGATGCTCAGCCCCACAACCCCCTCTCCCCCCAACCCTCGGAGGGTCCCAGCCAAGAGCAGCAGGAGCGGGTGCAGCAGCTGCAGGGGTGAGTGTGTCCCCCACCTCCTCACTGATGGGGAAACCGAGGCAAGGGCCGCAGTTAACGGTGGGTGCCAGATCCCTGGCGAGGCTGCAGGAGGTGAACCGGGAGCTGGCGGCCGCGCTGCAGGACTGCAAGAGCGACGCGGAGCGGCTCAGCATGGTGCTGGGGCAGCACGAGTCCTGCAGCACCGCGCTGCGCCTGGCCCTGCGCTGCAGGTGGGGACGCGGGGACACGGGGACACGGCGGGGACACAGCCCGCGGTGCCACACTGAGCTCCTCTCCCTGCAGCGAGCGCTGCGGGGGGGCCTACGCCGCCCTCCTTGACCTGATGTGGGCAAAGGTGCGCCGGGAGGAGTATGGGGCCCAGGGGGGTGAGTGACAACTGGTGGGCTGCAGGGCTGGGGGGAGCTGGGGAGTTCATGGGAAGGATGCGGGGGGGGGATGTGCGAGGAACACGGGAATGTCAGGGGATGAAGAGGGGATGTGGGAGGGATGCACAAGGGGTGCTGGATGGTGTCAGGAGGATGTTGGGGGGATGCGGGGGGGATGCAGGGGGGTATCGAGGGGTAATGCAGGGAGATATTTAGGAGATGCAGGGAGATATTAAGGGGATGCACGGAAGTTGTCGGGAGGATGCTGGGAAAATCAATGTGGTTATCAGGGGGATGCAGGATTGATGCTGGCGGACCCCAGTCCCCAGCACAGTCCCCTTGGGAATACACACGGAAGAGGGACATGACCACTGCCTGCCTCATGCTTAGGAGACATGGGGCAGCAGAGCCCGGGGCATGGATGGGTGTCCAGCCCCACACCAGCGGAGGGGCTACAGTTCCAGGGCCGAGTGGAGCCGAATGGGCAGGAGGAGAGTGGGGACAGCAGCTCCACCGCGCTGCAGAGGTACCAGGATGAGAGCGGAGCACAATGCTGGGCTGTGCCCAGGGTGCCACCGTGTCCCCTGTGCCCACCCAAACCAGCACCCTCATCCTGCAGCACCCCAGCACCGCGCGGGATGGAGGAAGGGGCCCTTCGTGAGCACATCCGCCGGCTGCGCGCGGAGCAGGCGGCCGTGGAGGCTTCTCTGCAGGACCCCCCAGCACCCAGCAGCACCCACCGCAGCGAGGACACCCGGGCCCGCGCCGAGCGGGTGCTGCTGGAAGCTCGGGCTCAGCTGCCCGGCTGGAGACGGCCAGAGAAAGCAGAGCTGCTGCAGGAGCTGGCGATGCTCAAGGTGGGATGCTGTGGGGCTGAGCATGGGTCTCTTCCCAGCTCTCTGCAGAGAAGGCTGTGTGGAGACCTCAGAGCAGCTTCCAGTATCTGAAGGGGGCTACAGTGATATGGGAGAGAGACTTTTCATCTGGGACTGTAGTGATAGGACAAGGGGTGATGGGTTTAAACTTAAACACGGGAAGTTCAGGTTGGAGATAAGGCAGAAGCTCTTCCCTGTGAGGGTGGTGAGGTGCTGGCACATGGTGCCCAGAGAAGTGGTAAATGCTCCATCCCTGACAATGTTCAAGGCCAGGTTGGGCAGGTTGGGTGACACGGTCTAGTGTAAGACATCCATGCCCACAGTAGTGGGTTGGAACGGGATGATCTTAAGGTCTTTTCCAACCCAAACCATTCCATGATTCTATGATCTGAGCCATAGAGCTGAGAGAAGAGCAGGGGGTGATGCACAGCAAGAGGAAATGGAGTTGTGCCTCAGTTTCCCCATCCTAGTGACGCTGCTGCTGCCCTGCCAGGAGGCCATGGCTGACTTGAAGATGCGGTTGCAGCTGGTGGAGAGGGAAAAGCAAGGTCTAGAGGTGCTGGAAGCTGCGCAGGGCCCGCGGGAGTCTGCATTGCACCTGGTGCTCCAGCACCTGCAGTGGGAGAGGGATGAGGGGTTCAGCCACCCCCCCAGCAGCTCTAGCAGCAGCAAGGAGGTGAGGATTGCTCCCACCTCCCCATGGGGACCTTCCCCAGGGGCTGGAGGTCTCCCCAGGGATGGGACCCACATCCAGCTTCTGCAGGATGCCCAAAGTAGCCAGGTGGGAGCAGCGGCTCCTGGGTACCCTCCAGGCCCGGCAAGGATGGGTGAAGAGCTGCTTCGTACCATGAGCCGGTAAGAGCCCTCCCTGGCCATGCCATGGTGAGCCGTGCCAGGCTCAGGGACATTGCAGACATGGGGATGTCCCCCAGGACAGAGGAGCTGCGCGCCCGGGCACAGGCCCTGGTGCGTGCCCTGGAGGAGAGCAGTGCCATCAGCCGCGCGCAGCAGGCGCAGTGTGTCACCGTCACTGCGGACTTCTTCCATGCTCACAGGTAGGCACAAGGCTCCTCCATCGGGCACGTGCTGGGTGCAACATCGCCTCGTACACCCCTAGGTGCCTTCCTGCATGTCCTGGTTGCACATCACCCCCTGCTTGCTCCAGATCCCTTCTTGCACATCCGCAGTGTGTGGTTCCTACCTCCACAATCCCTTCTTCCGCAACCCCCTAAAAGTACAGTCCCTTCTTGCACCCCCCCAAAACTCCATCCTATATTGCATATCCCCAATGGGTGGTCTTTCCCTGCACACCCCAAAAACACAGTCCCTCCCTGCACACCCCCAAATGTGTGATCCCTTCTTGCACACCCCAAAAGCAAAGTCCCACCTTGCACATCCCAAAACTGCAGTCCCATATTGCACACCCCCAAAGCATGGTCCCATCTTGCACATCCCTGATACCCAATCCCTTCCCGCACTCACTCCAAAAGCACATTCCCAATTTGCACACCCCAAACCACGGTCCAATGTTGCACATCCTGTCCTTTGCACACCTTAGAAACATAGTCCCACCTTGCACACCCCTACCGTGTCATCCCCTCCTGCACACCCCAAGAGCTCTGTCTCTTCTTGCACACCCCAAACCTGGGTCCCCCAGTCACAGTCCCCTCGGTGCAGGGCTGAGCATGGTGCGGGTGCAGTGCGGTGGCAGTGTGGTGCTCGGCGGTGCCGAGTGTGGTGCTGAGCGCGGTGCAGTGCTCAGTGCGGTGCTGAGCGCAGTGAGATGTTCAGTGCGGTGCCTGGTGCGGTGCTAAGCGCGATGCTGAGCGCGGTGCTCAGTGCAGTGTTCAGAGAGGTGCTCAGTGCGGTGCTGAGCGCGGTGCTAAGCGCGATGCTGAGCGCGGTGCTCAGTGCGGTGCTGAGCGCGGTGCTAAGCGCGATGCTGAGCGCGGTGCTCAGTGCAGTGTTCAGCGCGGTGCTCAGTGCGGTGCTGAGCGCGGTGCTGAGCGCGGTGCCGGTGCCCCCAGCGCTCTGGCCCTGGCGTACCGCGGCGCCCGGCGGAAGCAGGCGGCTCAGCTGCGGCGGCTGGAGGGGCAGGCGGGGGCCCTGCGCAGGCAGCACGCCCGGCAGACGCAGGCGCTCACCCGCAGGCTGCACAGCCTGGAGCAGGGCACGGCCGGCAGCGAGACCTGCATCTAGAGACCCCCAGGGACCCCCCGTGCCGGCAGGACGCCGCTGTATCCCCAGGGAGAATAAACCACTGATGCTCATGGCTCAGCTGCCCCCACCGCGGTGCAGGCTTTGGGGGGGGGGGGTGGTGTTGCGTTTGGAGGGGCTCAGGCAGCCGGACCTGGAGCTTAGCTCATCCCGGAAACAAAGGGCCACCACCCCCGCACCCCCCCGCACTGTCCCCGCTGTCTCCCGGCACAGATGAAGCCGTTTCGTTACCCCTGACGTGGGATCAAAGGTGACGGCAGTGGCCGTGGCGGCGGGGCCATGCATATTCAGGAGGGAAGAGGAGCAGTGACCCCTCGCTGGGGGCATCCTCGCTGCGATGGGGGTGGGTGGCAGTGGGGTGAAATCCAGCAGCAGGAACCCTGGAACACTGAAGGCTTGGATAGCGGAGCTGGGCTGAGCGTGGGTTTCCAGTGGGTGGATGGGCAGGGGCACAGACACAATGTGGGCAGAAGGGAAACAGAGGCACGGAGGTTTACATAGGCTCAAATGGGGCCTGCAGCTCCCCAGAGAGATCCTGCAGCAGAGTTCAAGGCTCAGTGGATCAATATCCAGAGCTGTGGCAACGGAGAGGGCAGAGAGGGCTGCAGGGCAGGGGTGCAATAATGTGGAGATGTGGGGATGGAGGGATGCAGGATGGTGCTGCGATGACACAGGCCTGCAGGGTTTTGGGCATGCAGGGCTGCAGGGCAGGGCTGCAGTGACGGAGGCGTAGGGATGCAGGGATGAAGGGATGCGGCAATGCAGTGACAGAGGGATGGAGGGAAGTGAGGATGCAGCTCACCCCTCCAAGCTGCCCATGCCTCTGCCCCCATCACCTCATCACAGCACCCCTCTGAAATGGGAACAGGGGCTGGTTCAAGCGGCAATTCCCAGTACCCCAATCACTGAGTTGGGGGGCTGCCTGTGCTGCTCCAGCCCCTGTTGCCCCCTCTCGTGCCTGGCTCTGTAGGGGGGTCCCGGTGGCGTGGAGGGGCTGACCTGCGGGTTGAAGGTCAGGGCTCTGCTCTCAGACCCCTTTTCAGATTCAAATCGGCTCCCGGGGGCTTTGTGCGGGGTCAGGCTCTGCGAGAGCCACATGAAAGGGCCGGGGCAGCCGGGGCAGCCTCAGTGCTGGGTGCCGGGAGGAGGAGGCAGCTGGGACCCTCTTGAGGGGTCCCCCCTGCTGATTCCAGGGCCTGACCTGGACTCCCAGAGGCACCGGTGGGGATGGGGTGTTCCCGGCTGTGGATGGGGGTCCCAGTGCTGTCCTGCCTGCCAGGCTGCTGTCACAGCACGGGGTGGCTTGGCACGGTGCAGCATGGCATGGCACAGAACAGCATGGAATGGTATGGTGCAGCATGGCACAGCAAAGCACAGCACTACTCAGTATGGCACAGTGCAGCACAATGTAGCATGGCACAGCATGGCACATCATGGTGCAGGCTGGTGGGACCCCCCTGCTTTCCCCACTGTCATCCCACTGTACATCCAGAAACCTGCAGCTCTCCTGGGAGGGCTCCACGTACCAGTTACTGACTCCACCATTCCAGCCTGCTCCCTGCCTCAGTTTCCCCTCTGTCGGGGCTACAGTAACCGCCTGACACCCCCTGGTAGCATGGCCCAGTGTGGGGCTGCACCCCATCCCCTGGGATTGTGGGTCCCGGGGGGGGGGCATGGTGGGGGAGGCAGGAACGATGGGATCAGGGAAGTGATTCATGTATTCATGTCCCCCCAGGGAGTGAGCGTCCAGCCCGGGCTGGGGCGTGGGATCTGATATCCCGGGAATGCAGGGCAGGGAGGGGCGGGGGGGTCACGTCTCCCTTTGCCTCAGTGCAGGGCTGGGGGCAAACCTGCAGCACTGTGTGTGTGTGTGTGTGTGTGTGTGTGTGAAACCACCACTCCATGGGGAGGGAGATCCCCATGTGTGTGTGCAGTGACCCCCCCCACATGTGTGCACCCTGCTGCCTGTCCCTTGCACGCGTGTGTGCACACGGCAGAGGTGTGTTTGCTGCACAGGCGCTCCATGTGCTGTGCTGTGGGGCAGCCTTGGGGCGCAGGGCTGTGCTGTGGGGTGTGCAACGGCCCTGCCCAAGGATCCGAGGAGCAGTGGCACCACTGGCCCTGGCCTCCCTTTGTCCTTTGCTGACAGCAGTGCAGGCGCGGTTGGGCCCTGCAAGGTCACCACGTTCCAGGGTTGGGACCATCGGGACGCCCCCTGGGCATGGGGGGCCCTTCACCCCTCTGCGGGCTCCAGCGCAGCTCCTGCCTGCCCTCAGCACATCCACACGTGCCCGCACCTCAGGAATGCGGCACTGAGGAGCGTGGTTGGGCCTCGGCATCCTCTAGGGCACAGCAGAGACAGATCCTGCTCAGATCAGGTGTGGGTCCTCATGGGGGCACAGACTGATGGATACGGTGGTGTCCATCTAACACCCTCTGGGAAGCTCCCGCGAGGGGTTGGCAGAGGGAATGGCTGCCCCACAGCCTGGAGTGGTGGGAACCAGGATGCAGAAGAAATGGGGTCAGGGCTGGCGGTGCTGGTATCTGGCTTTTTGGTGCTGCTGGCACCCAGCTCTCTCACCGGCACAGCCATGAACCAGGCACGCTTCGGCAAAGGTTGCTCAATCACCCTCCAGCCCAAAGGAGGATCATCACTGCCACCCATATCCCAACACCACAGCTGGCTCTGACCCCGAAATCCTCATGGAGCCCCGGCAGCGCCTCCATCGTGCCAGACTCTTCCCTGGGGGCACCGGGGCGGCACAAAACGCGCTGGCAGCTCCCGGGGGCCCTTTTGTGCAGTGGAGGCAGTAGAGCAGCACGAGGAAGGAGGAATTCCTCCGGAGATCAAACGCCTTCTCCAACTGGACACCGACGTCAAAACAAGGCCGGTTCCCAGCGCGGGGCCGGAGCCATGCGGGGGAGAAGATCCAATTTCCTCCTTTGTTCCTGGATTATTATTTTTTGCAGGGGGCAGGAGGCGGGAGCGGGGCAGGGAAAGGGCCATAAATCACAGCCTGACACAAGAGAAAGGAGAAGCAGGGGCGGCTGCAGGTGGGGGCAGCCCCCATGCCCAGAATGAACCCCCCCCCCCCCCCACTCCTCCAGCCCAGCCCCTTCCCACCCAGCTCTGGCTTCCCAACCACAGCAGCCCCTGTGGCATTGGCCCTTGCTGGGTATCTTGGTGTGGCTGCATTAGCAGGTACCTGGTGAGCAGAGATCCCTCCAAGCAGGAGGAAATGGAGGTTTATTTATGGCCAAAGCTGTAATCCATCCACCTCTGCCGCACCCCAGCTCCTCCAGCTCCCCTTTCATGGTTTTTTTTATATCCATCCTGCTTTGCTTTGCCTTCCCCTTCTCCCCACTGGAGATGCTGGCCCTGGTGTGTTGGTTGGGAATGCCAAGGATGGCACCGTGACATGCCACAAAGGTCCTGGCAGCTCCGATCAACATCAGCATCCTTGGGGTCGCCCCATGGGGATAGGCCTGCCCCAAGGGCACACCAGGGCAGATGGGACAGGGGTGCATGGGGACCCAATCTCTGCACCGTGCCCGCTGGACCTCACCCCCAAATTGAAGGGGAACGGAGTGGTCCCGGAGCCACTGGAGCCACCACGGCATAGCCAGGAGGAGTTTGTCCCGCAGGTGGAAGGTGAAGGGAGGGCTATCCCAGAGGGCTGCTCCCGGGTCAAGCACCTTTCCCAAAGCTTGTTTCTTCGTTAACAATTAACAAAGCACCAGCACCCAAAGCCTGCGGGAAGGCCATACAGGTCAGACCTGATGAACCGCATTACAAACTGGGCTGCAGCCACCTGGCCTCAGCCATGGGGGCTGAGGGACCCCCAGTGCCACCAGAGCACCCCAAAGGCACAGCCCCCAGCCCTTGTGCCCCCCACACGAGCCGTGGAGCTGCGGCCTGGTGCTGCTGGCTATAATTAAAGATCCCGTTGGGGCTGCTGGCAAGAGGATGGGATTCCCAACACCGGCGGCTTGGCCATGAGCCAGGCCTGGGAATGACTTCCCACCCGCATCCCGCGATCCACAGCCCCATGCGGCATCACACCATGTGGTGACACGGTCCCTTGTCCCCAAGGGCAGCCCTTGCCGCACCGCTGCAGCTTAGAGGTCACTCGCTGTGGGGACCAAGGGCCGCAGCAGTAACCGCAGCCATAATTGCAGCCGGTTAAGTGCCACGGGCCCGGCAAACCGGCACGACAGCGAAGCGCCCTGCTCCCCAAAGGCCATGGCGGGGGCCGCATCCAACCCGAACGGGCTCTTCCACCGCCCTGCCCGCACCCGGCACCGCAACCGAGGCCGTAGCCGCCTCCGCCACAACCGGTACCACCGGCCCGCGGAGCCGCCCAGCCGTGCCCAGCCCCGGCTCCCGACTGCGGCGCGGAGCGGTGCCCGCCCGGTCCCTGTATGTCCCCCCCCCGCGAAGCGGCTCGGCGGGGGAGTGGAGGGGGGGCTGCCCGGTGCTGCGGGGCCAGGGCCGGGGCAGGACCCGGCGGGCGGCGAGCGGAAGGGGAGGAGGACGGGGAGGAGCATCCAGGGCGGCCACCGCGGCAGCGGCTGAACTTTGCTCTTTCGCGGGAGGCGGGGAGAGCCCCGGGGCTCGGCGGAGCGGGTCCCGCCGGACCCGGACCGGGACCGGGCTGCATGTACCGGCGGTGGCGGCGGGGCCCGTAGGGGCGAGGGCGGGCCGGGGCAGCGCCGCCTTCTTCTCCTCCTCCTCCTCCTCCTTCCCTGCCGGTGCCGCGGAGCGGAGAAGCCACCGGGGGCGGGCAACGGCGGCCCCCGCATGCGGCCGAGCCCCGGGGCTGCCGCCGCGCCCGGAGCCGCCGCGCCCCGCGGGGGGATGCGCCGCGCCGCGCCCCGCTCCCGCCGCCGCAAAGTTTCCGCGGGGCCCCCCCGTTAACGGTGGGGGGGGAAGGAAAGGAGGAAGCCCTGGGATAGAAGAGGGGGGGCGGAACAAACCTCCCCCCCCCCCCCCAAAACCGCGAACCGGCCGCCACCCCCCAAAAAAACTTGCTCAACTCGTTCCGGGAGGCGC